GTCTGAAGTAAGAATGCATACAGACTCATGAGCAGTAGCTAAAGGCCCCGAAATTGGAAGATTGGGAAGAAGAAGGTCTGTGAAAGAGACATGTGGGTGAACCAAAGGGAATATGCATTAAACATGAACATCTTTTTATCACTTTTAATGTGCTCTAGAGAATAGAATAGAGACACTGGTGACAGAATGGCCCAGCCAGCTGGTGACAGTCAGCCTCTGTAACCGGCCACCCTGGTGCAGTACAATATTTGCATGGAGAAGCCATGGTGGAAGGGATGGAAGCTGTGTGTGGGTGACACAACACGGGATCCTTCTCACCAAGTTTGATTTAGTTACTGCTGCCGCCTATTATTCAACCTTCCAATAACGGAGTCCAGTGCTGAGCCCGCAAGTCGGTACCATCCCTGAGGAGATCAACCAGCCACTTGCATGGGGTCCAAAACTGACTACATTGGAACCAGCCACCTGTGAAGGGCAGCCACTCATCTGCAAATATGGGTGTGCCTTTCCTGCCTGCAGGGTCTCAGCCAGCGCAACCATCCAAGGACTTCCGCAAGTTTTGATCCTCTGATACAGGGTTCCACATAACACCCTAAGGAACCAATGGACCCACTTTACAGTAATGGGCATATGACCTTGGGTCCTGTCACAAACCACTTGTTTTGGGTTGAGATGTATCTCCCTCCTCTCCCACAAAAAAGATAAATGGAAGTCCTAACCCCTGGTATCCATGAATGTGACCTTATTCGGAAATAGGGTTTTTGCAGATATAATCAAGTTAAGATGAGCTCATACTGGATTAAGCTGGGCCCTAAATCTGATGCCTGGTGACCTCCTAAGGAGAGGGAGACTTGGAGACACAGATGCAGAGGAAAGAAGGCCGTGTGAAGGCAGAGGCTCAGAGTGGAGTGACGCTGCTGCAGGCCAAGGACACCAAGGATTGCCAGCAACTACAAGAAGCTGAAAAAGGCGAGGAAAGATTCTTCCCTAGAGCCTTCGGAGGGATCACTGCCCTGCCGACACCTTGATTTCAGACTCCTGGCCTCCAGAACTGTAAGAGGATACACTTCTGTCATTTTAAGCCACGCAGTTTGCAGTATTTGTTACAGCAGCCCCAGGAAACTAACAACACTCCTTTACCTAGAAACTGCCAGCCTGAGAGAGTGGTGGAATGGCCTCTTAAATATGCTATCAAGATGCCACGTTGGAGATAATACTCTGCAATGCCATTCTTTTACATAGAATAGATACCATAACTCAATGGCCATTTTATGGGGCTGGGCGCTTAAGGCAGACTATACAGGTCCGGAAACCAAGGAATGCAAGCAAGAGTGGTCATGCCTCTGGGAGATTTGTCACTGTCCATGCAGCTTTAGGCTCTGTGGGTCTAGAAGCCCTGGTGCCCAGATAGACAAACTTCCATCAGGTGCTGCAGCAATAGACTTATTTAACCCATTCACGCTCATGTCAAGAGACTAGCAGGCAAGGACCGGAGTCATCAAACCGACAAGGGTCACTGTGGTGATGAGGAGGTGATGGGGCCACTGCTATGCAGTGGGGACAGGGAAGGATAAGTTTGGCAGCCAGATGATCCACTTGGGCACCTCTTGGATCTCCCATATCTGGTTTTAGGTATAAAGGGATAGATGCAGCCGCCATGGCTTGAAAACATCTTGGCAACCAGTGGGTCAGATCCCTCAGCGATGAGGGGCTTACCTGGTGGGGTAACCCTGACATCCAGATCAACAGAGATGCGAGCAGAGGTTCAGGAGACTAGATAGGTAGCAGAGGAGGGAGACGATAAGCATCTGTAAAGCCTTGAGACCAGTTGCAACAGGAGGGGCTGTGGTTTGTCCCACCAACCAGAACCTGGATGGGAAGAACTTACTATGGGAAGCAAGTAGGTTTGAGGGGCATAAGGAGTGGGCTGTGGTAGACACTGTGGTGTTTCTCCAGCTCCCTTCCTCTGCTCCGATGTTGCCTTCCCCAGACGCTGAGGTGCCAGCTGCTGGTAGCTCACAGCTACATCCCTCATTGGGAATTCAGATCTGCTGCAGGAACCCACGCTAAGGTCACGTCTCATCTCAGAGGGTGGCCCACCACCAATGACTGACCAACGTGGGGAAACAGTCCCAGCCCCCTGCCTCAATTTGGGACAACTCCCACAGGCAATTCCTTTTCCAGAGCAGGGTTGGCTGAGGCCTCGTTACAGCACACCGTGGTCAGCTCTCCCTTCCCCAGCCCTGCTTCCCTCGCTTCCTTATAGGAGTATCTTCTAAGAGTACTTCCCAATAAACTTGCACATGAGCCTCTGTCTCAAAGTCTGTGCCCAGGGGACACAATCTAAGAGCAACACTTCACATCAGGTTCCTTTGAGGAAGGGCATTTTGTTGTTAGAAGATGCATCCTAACACCACTGACGTCTGTTATGGACTCAGCGGGTGCACGTGCACAGATGAATGTAAGCCCAGGATGGCTAATTTTCTAAAGAAAAATTGTGACACTTATTTTTTTTTTCCTACTGGATGAAGTTACTCACTAGCCTAAAGCTAATGGATGATTGATTGTGATGAGACTTTTGAAATAGCTTACGCAAGAACAGAATAATTCTTACTTGCTTCAGCTTTGAAGTTTCCTGTGATATGAGGGGCTAAACATGAGTGCTCAGACTGTTATTACATTTGCAAAGTTGGATCACTGTCTTGAGAGGCCTCTAACTGTGGGATGAGTAACATTTCCTGTAAAGGAGTGAGAGCATTTTACTCAGAACGGGTGCAGAAAACACAGTTATTCTTTGTCTGCCCTTTTTCCCCTGTGCGTTCCTCAAGTATCTGAACAAAAGTGAAAGAAAACAGCAGCACGTGGGGAGAGGGTAGGGAATAACCCACGTCCTTTCTCTCCTGCCTGCAACAGGCAATACACCGCTTCATCGGTTCACCGGGCATATTGAAACAGGCACTTTCCCCAGTTTGGCAGCAGGGGGAAAGCACACTGACTATGGCATTTCCTGAGGTCAAGTCTGTTTCCAGTTTCCAGAGCCATTAGGCTTTTTGGAGGATGGTCCTAAAACTCAAATGGCTGAGTACACTGTTGAGGACAAGCCATGCAGGGGAACAAATTCTTGAACACAGCCCTTCTTTGCGAAGTAAAAGGAGGTTGGTTCTTGAGAACTCCCCGAAGCCTGGAGCGTGCAGATGTCACCTTCTCCAAGCCTCGGGGCACTAGCCTCTGCAACCCCTTGGATGTGGTGGGGTGGTGGGCAGTGTCACAGGCTTTCACTGGGCCCTTCCTTCTCATCCTGGTTTCACTTCATGGATCAGGGAGTTCATGTGGATATTCTGCAATTTAGTCTCTATTCTGACTGAGAATTCAGAAACTGGGGGAAAAACCAGTTTGTGTCTGCGTGCTCACTGGACCCAGGGTTTGATGAACCTGGGCTAGGATTTTATCACCCAACATCCATAATCCCCATCTGGTGGACCATGGTGGTGTGTGGAGGCCCCAGAGCTCCACATGGATGCAGATACAGTTTTGTATTAGAGTCAGCTCCCCCTAACAAAGCTGAAACAGGAACTTGGGTACAAGTAGTTTATTTGAAAGCAGGGGAGCAGGGAGAAGGAGACAGGAAGGGAGGAAGAACCAATACAAAGCACATTCTAGAGCTGGTTCCCGGCATACAGCCAGGGCTCCACCCACCTGGAGCCTCAGGGAGAATGCCCTTCAGGATGGGCTCAGGAATGGCAGCAGGCTCAACAGTCATCACTGACTCATACCTTATTGGTTGAAGTTTGCTCCAGGGGTGTCAACTTCACCACTACCCCCACTTCTGAGCAGGCTAAGTCAGTCCCCTGTTGGGAAGAAAGCCAAGAGGCAGAAAGCGGAGAGACTGCTGCGGCCATCAGTCAGTGTGCATGGGCTCTGTCCACCGTCAGTCAGTGTGCATGGGCTCTGTCCACCGTCAGTCACTGTGCATGGGCTCTGTCCACCGTCAGTCACTGTGCATGGGCTCTGCCCACCGTCAGTCAGTGTGCATGGGCTCTGCCCACCAGCTCAAATCAGAACTGGATCCAAGAGCCTCTCAAGAGCCAGACCTAACACTTCCTGTAGGTTCTGAGTGTTTTCCTTGCACCTTGGTGAAGGGCCACAGGTCCCTCTAAAGAGGCTCAAAGTAAGGTTTATAGTATGTACATATGGCCATGTTGCAGGGAACTTCCTCAAAGGGGCTCAGCCTGCTCCTCCATCAAGAGGCTCCAGGTCTGAGCACACTTGGGTCTGGGAGCTGGATGAGGGGCTCTGAAACTTCACTGTGGCAATTTGAGTCAAATCTCTGCCCACCAGAACTAGATTTTTTTTTCCGGATGAAAGTAACACCTTACTAGGTTGCCCTTGTATTTATTCCTAGGGACCCCATGACTGATTTGTCACCACCTTGGATCCCAGGGGTCAAAACATTTTGATGGTCTCTCTGTCCTTATGGTCTAGTACACACATTTTGTCAACCATGTGTCTGACAAATATTTCCCTTTTGGGGTCCAATTTTTTTCAGTTCAAAGCAGGGAGCCCAATTCAATGAGTCATTTTCCTTTCGTCTTCTCTATCTCACTGAGATAGAGTCTGCAGCTTCCACAGAATTTCTTGAGGATGTCTATGCTCCCCTTAACAATGCATTTCTGATCTTTTAAAACTTTTCTACTATGGAAAATTTTAAACACACATAAAACTAAAGAGTTTAGTCTAACAAACTCCCACATACCCATGATTCAACACATTGATTCATGGCCAATCTTGACCATCCCTACCCGCATCTGCTTTCTTCCCTCTACCCAATACACTCAATGGGTTATTCTGAAGCAAACACCATCATATTATCACAACCGTAAGAATTTTAGCATGTGAGATATCGGTAAGATAAAAATTCTTTAAAAAACATAACCACGTGCGTTATCACACCTAAAAAGATTCACATTAATTCCTTATTATCATCAAATCTCCAGGCAGTGTTCAAACTTGGCAACTTTTTAATAGTTGGGTTGTTGAAATCAGGATCCAAACAGGTCCACATATTCTATCTGGTACATAGATTCTTCAAGATTCTCTTGAATCTTTTTAATATATACCTCTCTAATCTAACTCCATCCCTCTTTTTTAATTCTTACAATACATTTATTGAAGAAGCTTGGTCAATTCTCCTGTATGTCAGTGTATCTCAAACTTTAAAGTTTAGGAGAGTCACCTAGGAATCTTTTAAAAATACAGATACTGATTGAGTAGCTTTGACGTGGGCCTGAGAGTCGGCATTTCTAGCTAGCTCCCACGGGATGTCCATGCTGCTAGTCACACTAAATGGCAAGGCTGAAAAATCCAGCCTTCTTGATTTAGCTGATTGCATCTTGAACTGGATCATTCAACATGCTCCTCTGTGTCATGTAGTTCTTGTAAGTTATTAATTAGATCTAGAGGCTTGAACCGATTTGACTTCAGATTCTTGGTAAGAATACTTTCTGGCTTGTGTTATAGGAGACACATAGAAACTGTGATAAAATTGATCAGGGTGCAGGTGTTGTTAGCCTGATCGATCCATTACAATGGTCCCCACTTAAGTGTACTTGCAGAACAGTTAAAATGGTAAAGGCAGGATAAATGCTTTAGTCTTTCTCTTTATTTATTAACTGATTTCTGGCTATTGAGCACTTGAAATGTGGCTAGCACTAAGTGAGATGTGCTACATGTGTAAAATACACATCAGATTTCAAAGACTTAGTGTGAGGAAAAGAATGAAAAGTACCCCATTAATTATTTTTTATACTGACTAGAAGCTGAAGTGATAATATTTTGGATATCTTGGGTTCAATTTAACTTCACCTGCTTCTTTCTAGTTTTTAGAAAAATGTAGCTACTAAAAAATTTCAAGCTACATAGTGGTTCGCATTTGTGGCTCACCGCCCGTTGCAGTGGACAGCCCAGTTCAGAGCGTGTCAGGGAAGGTCCAACATCTCCACCTCATCGGTCCAATCAAAGGGACTTGGGAGCCACTCCCCAGGGCCCCAGAGAATCCTGAATCGTGGGAGGGTGCCCTGGTGTCAATAGACTCAGCCCAGGCCCGTTATATATTTTATCTTTCTTAGTCGGGCACCCAGAACACATTTCCACAAGTCTTGTCCTGGTTCCTGCCAATACAAATTACCTACATCCTGAAACCCTGTCCTCATAAAAGTGTCTTTTCCAAGAGCAGAATTGGAATTCTATATAAGACCTTGTTTAAAAATAATCGAAAACCATTTTCCTTGATGATCTCTTGAGTCTCTTCTAGATTCGAAGCCCTCTAGGCCCAGTGACTTGGCTTCATTGGCACCAAGCTTTCCCCAACCACACTGACTGGCAGGGACCACGGTCCTGATGCTGATTGTGTAGTAACAACCTTGAGCTGCCATCATCCATTTGGGAAGCATTATTCTGCAAAACTGACGACCTAACCATAACCAGAAGGCATGGGAACAGCCTCCTCAGACAGAGAAAACCAGTATTTGCTGCAACCACCAAATGCAGGCCCAACCAGTGATTGCTCTTTTGAACTTGTTTGAAAAAACTAATTAAAACCAAAAAGAAAATAAACATAGGCAGTGTCATAGCTACCATAGGCAATGCTTGAAAATTTTGCTCCACCAAGATTTGGCCCACACACAGGCAAGACGGTGGCTAAAGATCCATCTAGGAGACAGTTTGTCAACACACCACTCACGCCTCTTCCGATTAAAAATAAAAATCTCTTGTCCACTTCTTTTCCCATCCTCATCCGAATATGAGCACCCTGCCCCCTTCATCAGTAAATGAGTGATGTGTGGGTTCCTGACTCTTGGACCAAAGAAAGAAGTTGGGTCTGTGTCTAATGTTCTGGTCTTATTTTAGTCTCTTTTAATCTTATCCCATCTTCTCACTGTCCTACTAACTAAGAATCCCACCCTCTGAGTCAGAACAAGTAACATGCCACAATCTTAATGATCTCCTTATTTTCAGCCACAAAAGCTCCCCTTCTCTTCTAGCTCTTTCAGGAGGAAACAAGCCACGTGTACATTCTTTGAGGTGCATGGACCAGTGGCTAAGGCTCATTTGAATAGAAAATGAAGTGAAACCATGAAAATAGGTCAGCATATTATATTCTACCTATGAGACTTATGAGATTTCTCCAAGGTTAAGTTAGTTATTTGGGGAAAGGATCTATTGGTATGGCTAAGTAAATGTTGTGTATGTTTTGAATGCAATCACATATATACATAGTCCATCCAAATATTTAACAAATTAAATTTTAAGGTATCTCAGTTCAGATTCTCCAAAGTCAACAAAACTAATGTATTTCTCTCTCACATTAGCATTACAGAAATCACTTTTCACAGGGAAAACATTCCTTTATAGCAAGGAATTTAATGTTCTTCACCCAGAATATCTATGTAAGTGAAAAAGATGGCATTACTGTTTAGAACATGATGTCTCAAACTTTTTAATTCCAAATGCTTGACGTTTTCCCTACCAGTTTTATACTGCAATTAATTGTATAAGGGAGAAATATTTTGCATGAAAAGTATAATTTTCAGCAAAATCATACTTGATCAGAAATCAGTACAGGTACAGTTATGCATCGATTAACGACGGGGGTGCATTCTGAGAAATGCATCGTTAGGTGATTTCGTCATTGTGCAAACATCATAGAGTGCACTTCCACAAACCTGGACGGTCCAGCCTACTACACACCCAGGCTCTATGGTACTAATCTTATAGGACCACCACCATGTATGTGGTCCGTCGTTGCCCGAAACGTTGTTATGCAGCACATGACTATATATCTAAAACTAAGTATAAGAACTTTAACCAAAATGACGTATTGGGGATAATAGTTCTGAAACAACTCCTGATGTATTTTCCTTCTCAGTAATTAAGGCTAAGCACCTCAGAGTCCCAGAATAGACATGGGCATTCTAAGAGATCTTGTGAGCCACAATAAGGATTCCACGGAAGACGGCAGACACTGGGCACTTCAGCAGCCGTGGCAGAACAGGATTCCCAGGGAAATGGCCAGGAAAGTCACGAGGAAAGACAAGCTCCAATCCCAATACCATGAAACTGTAAAAAAAGAAAGAGAAAGATAGAGAGAGAATTTGTTAAAAAGTAAGTGAAAATACAACAGACACTTCATATATGAAAATGTCTAAATGGCCAATAAACATTTGACAGTCCTCAACCTCATTAATCAAGAAAATGCAAATTAAAACTACAGTGCAATACTCATCCACGGGAATGGCTAAAATGAAAAAGACTGACCAGACAGCCTCTGACAGGAGGATAAATGCTACAGCCACATTGGAGAACTGTTTAGCAGTATCTATCAAAACTGAACATATGTACATCCTACAACCCAGCAAGTCCACTGCCAGATTATATATATGTCTCCAACGGAAATGTACACATCTATCCACTAAATGGCACGTATGAAAATGCTTACAGTAGAATATTCATAATAATGAAAAACTGAAAACTGCCTAATGCCCATCAATAATTACACAGATAAACAAACTGTGGTACATTCACCATGGAATACCACACAGCAATATGGATGAAGAGATTGCCGATATGTGCAATAATATGGATGGATCTCGCAGACATGATTATGAGCAAAATATGACAGACACAAAATACTACCATATAATATGTGATTCAATTTATAGAAACTTAATAACAAGAAAATGATTCTAAGGTATCAGGATTGTTAGCTACGCTTTTTGTGGGGACAGTGACTAGAAAGGGTGAGATGCTGGCCACGTTCTAGGTCTTGCAGCTTACACAGGTGTGTTCACCTTGTGAAATTCTTTGAGCTGTACACTTAGGACTGTGCTCATTACTCTATGTGCACTATTATGCTTCCGAAACATGTTATGCTTTACGTAATATATATTATGCTTTAATAGAAACGTCAACAGTAAGAGCAGCTCAATATCAACTAGTTTAAAATGGTCTCTTTCAGATTAATTACCCCTCCAGCAATAGCTACCTTCAGCAGAATGAAGAATCTGTGATTAGTATGAAACCATCTATTTAAAAATATTAAGAATGTCACAGGTTGCACTCCTCTTAGCAGTGTTAAATTTTACCCTGCTTCAATAGGTTATAATAATACAATTTTAAAATCTTAATGCCATGTGCCCATGGCAACCATCTGCTGCTTTATATATTATTTTGCAGTCATTTTTAAATTATCATGAGGGAATCAAGAATGCAGTCGGCTATCAGTGTCAGAATGTCTGATGAGCAGTGATTCCAGATTGAGATCATCACATGATGGTGGTCCAGGGTTAGAGCAGAGACTTAGAGGTGTCATCAGGGGCTCAACGCTTCCTATCTTTGCACCCATCGTTCTCTGCAGGCTGGCTTCCCACCTCATGGCAGCACACTGGCTGCTGCATGTCCAAGCACCTCGTCCATTCACGGAAGGAAAGAAAATGTGATAAAGGAGGGCAATATTCTACCAAGCTCTCCTTTCTTACTGAAAATCAGGAAGGCAAATTTTCCCCCAGAACACCTCCTCTTCAGGAGTCTTCTACTTATATTTCATTGGCAAGAACTGTATTACACGGCCAATACTTGCTACAGAAGAAGCTAAGAAAGTTACTATTGAGCTTTCTGCTCTGTAGAGCAGAGAAAGGAGAGGGCAAAGGGGGCTGAGAATGACAGTTAAGTGAGCCATTATATGCCAGTGTTTTTTCCTGCTTTAAAAAAATGTAATGTTATATTATAAATCTTTCTCTTTGACTGTACCCTAGCACTCATCAATTCTAGAACTCTTGAAATCTTGACCCCTAAGATCCAAAAAGTGGTCCTGGCAAGGTGGGCTGTGTATGTCAGGGGACAGCAGCCCCCACTCACACCCATCAAAGGAGCCTTACCACTTGCTTTTCACAGGCATGGCATCCATCCTGCAGATAAGCCAACGGGCATGTCCCCCAAGAGCTGAAGATGGAACCGCAGATTCATCAGCTTCAGGCAGGTGCTTCTAACCATAGTCTGTGCTCAATAGATAATTACGGTGTCTTTTGTTCAGGAACCAAGAACCAATCGCGTACTGGAACTCTGTGTCAGCTGCCTTTGTTATCATTGTCTTGGCTTCCCGGCCCTCTCTGCACCTAATAAAGCTTTATGTGCGGAACGAGTTTTTAACCAGTCAGTACATTAAACCTAAGTCTACTGTGGTCCCCACCATTCACTGTTGCTAACTACAGCTCTTTGTCTGACTCTAATGCTATCTACTTGAACCAGTGTGTATTTACTTATGTTCATCTCCAGGTAGTTATGACAATGACAGCTTTGAAAGAATAGCTACCAAGTTTCCTAAGGTAAAATAAAAGTAGGAATTTCTGTAAAAAGCATTTTTTGAGGTCTTATAATGATAAGTAAAAATTCTTGTTTTAAGTATTTCCCTTAGGTCACAAAACTACTCTCTTTGAATGGCCCTTCCCCTAGATGTGAAAATGTCCTTTTAAAAATCAATCTGAAGCCCATTTGGGTTAACTAACATGTTCACAAAACCCACTTCCTAACATTTTATCCAGACTAACATCTGGTGGCTTTAATGCAAGGCAGGCCGTGGTTCTGTTCTGGGCTCTGCTGTCAGATTGCCAGGAAAACTTGGAGGGTCACCAAAAGTTTTGGGCCTCAGCGACATCTATACAACAACTGTAGTAGGCTAAATGGTTAAAAGTTTTAAGAAAAGTGGGTTAACCATGCTGTAAAGTCTTCAATGAACTATCCTCTAGTGCAACGAGAGTTAGTTGTGCTTAAAACAGGGCAGCAGTGACTGGCTTTTCTCTCCCCACTCTTGGCATCGTGGGAGTTGACTGTTCCACTCTGAAATGAGAATCTCATTTTAGGATAGCTGTAACAATCCCTGGGCCACTTATTCAGTAATAAACTTTGATTGGCTACTATTTCAGCAACGTGGAGATGATAGACTCTCTCCTTTACCAAGCTTTATTCCAGCTCCTCTGAGCCCTCTTTCTGACTAGTCCTGTCTTTGGCATGCCCAGCCCAGTCTTAGCAAGAATCCTGCTAAGTCATCCCCTTATCCTTGATATCTGATCAAAAATCTGATCACATCCCACCTTTGATGTCTAAGTCCTTTGCCTGTCTTTAGCAATAATCCTGCTAGGCTAGGTTAGCAAGAGTCCCCTACCCTTGATGTCTCCTCTTAGTCATTTGCCATCCACCGACCCCTCAATCTGCTCATAGGCTACAAATCCCCAGCTGTCTTTGCTGTATTTGGTATTGAGCCCAATCTCTCTCTCCTATCGCAATAGTCTTGAATAAGTCTTCCTTATTGCTTTAATAAGTGGCAGAACAATTTTTTCTTTAACAGAGGTTGACTTGGCAGTTGTTAGGGTGACCAACCATGTCAAGTTTGCTCTGGCCTGAGGGGTTTCTCAGGAAGCAGGATTTTCAGTACTAAAACAAGGACAGTTCCCAGAAAATCTGGACTAGTGGTCATCCTAGAGTTTATAACTGTAATCCGTACTTGTTGGCACTTTGTCCAACTCTCCCAAGCAAGTCACAAAGAGACGCTCAGCTGCCAGGAAGACATGCTAAGCTTTGCACACTTCTTGGATTTAGCTCATGGGTGACATTGGAAGACACAGGCGAACACCAAAGGCTGAGATACTCCATGGATCAGGTCCAGAAGGCAGAAAGCTGAAAATCAGGGGACACATGTAGTGATGAACAAAGCAGTTGGGCAACCCATGTCTGAATCTTGGAAAACCCAGAGGCACAAGAGATACCACATTTGCAACTGGAGAGCCTGTCTTTCTCCCACAATTTATTTTGAAAAATGTTCATGCTTCCAGAAAACTTGGAAGAATAATGGGAATGTGTATATCATAACCTAGACTCACCAACTGTCAACATTTTGCTACACTGTCTTTCAACACATACATATATGTGTATGTGATATGTATATGTATGTATGCATGCATATTTCACTGTCTCATACACACAAACATATACACAATTGCCACTGAAGATATTTTAAGAATGTTGAATTTGCAAGGCATTCCTGATATAGGACATGAATTAAAAATCAGCATAACTGTTGTGCCAAAAGCAAATTAAGACATGAAAAGGTGCTCAGCATCACTTGCAGATAGGGAAATACTATAGTTTTCTTTTAGATCTTTTTCATTTTTCTAATTTGGTGGGTGAAAAATAGTATGACATTCAATGCTGGTGAGAGTATGGGGAAATGAGCTATCTTATACATTGCTGATAGTAATGAAAATTGCTGGTGGAAATATAAATTAATTTTCAGAGGAAATAATCTAGCAGGATCTATTAAAATTAACAATGTGTATATTGCATGATTCAGCAATCCTTCTCTGAGCATTGGAATTCAATCTTACAGAAATAAAAGCACCAGTTCTTAATTGTAGTACAAAGCTGTTTATTGCAGTGTTGTTTGCGGTGTCAAAAAACTAGAGATATCTGTAAGTGGGCATTCAGGTTATGGTTCAATTATTTATGGTGGATCCACGATACGGAATATATAAAATATATTTTCAAGTTAGATACATCCATATTGACTTGAAGGTACGCCACGGCATGTTAAATGGGAACTGGTTGAATAATTACATTTTTGAAATAAAAAAGGACAGAAATCTTCATGATTTATGTTTTGTCTATCTGCAGAAATAGAGAAAAACACAAAAGATACACTAATTTGTTTGTTGTTGTGGTTGCCACAAGAATCTGTTTTCCCTTCCTAATACAAAATCTCAGTTATTAAGGGTAATGACCATCCCCCACTGTAGACAGCTGTCGGGGGAAGAAGAAATCGAGACACCTGCCTGCTACAGTCTATACTAGAGACACTGAAAGACTCAGAGCCCCTCTTACGCCCGTGGTGCAATGATCGTCATTGACCCAGGTTTGATGAGTCAGACGCTCTCTCCAGAGACTCTGAATCTTGAGAGACAGGTGCAAGCATGGAAGAAATGAATGTCTTTTATTTATCCCCCTGGCTTGGATACTGCTTGGATGCAAGCAGGACTTGTCCCCAGTTAATATTCCTCACCTATCGAGAG